AAGCATACGTTTTTGTCTATAAACTCTTATGATATTAACAGTAGTAAGTCTGCCCATATCTAAAGAAAGAAAATGACAAAAATCCTTATATATTATTTATTCTATTTAATTATCTGGCTTATCACAAATTACACATCTTTGAAAAATATTTGTTATATGGCAGTTTTAATCATCTGTGCTTCTTACCTACCACGTGTCTCGTGTCCTAGTGAAAGATTCCTCCGACACTCTACTGACCAAATACCTGATGTGGAACTAATAAAGTCCATCACCTAGGGGATTCATTATCATCAGAAGATATTTTACAAATTGTGATCAATCACTTTCCTATTTTGAAATATAACATATAAAAAATATTAGTACAGGTAACTCTACTTCGGTTAATCACACATGAAATTAAATTTACTTAACCAAGACAAACGTTCCATTTGTCAAATTTGTAACTATATAACAAATTTGTCAAACCTGCAGCTATATAATTAATTTGTCAAACCTGTGAATATATATCACAAATTTGTCAAACCTGTAACCATATAAGCAAACGATATTTCAGTAAAGATTGAATTATATCATCACCTGATCAAATTATAAAAAAACCCAATATATGGTAACTGTTAGCCTTTACACAAAAGACAGATAAGACAGTTATCTGTCATTTATCACGATTAATACACAGGATAACATGTAAAAAAGAATGAACACATAGGGCCCAGCCTTGATTATATATCAAGGTAAAAAATACAAAAGACTAAATTAATCAAAACTAAATGCAAATTATTTGTATATTTTCAACAAGTCTTGAGATAAAAATAAATTATTTTGAACACAGATGGAATGTTTAATAAAAAAAAGTACATGGTGATGTTTGTGGGGATCCCCGTTTATTGATTAAGATGTTTGACGGAGTCCCTGTTTGGTGATGAAGATGTGTGAGGGGGTCACTATTTGATGATAAAGATGTTTTATGGTAACCCTGTTTGATGATAAAGATGTTTTATGGGGTCCCTGTTTGGAGATATAAATATTTGATGAAGTCCCAGTTCAGTGATTTAGATGTATGATGGGGTCGCTGTTTGATTAATGATCTCAGTTTTTCAAACCATCTATGTACCATAAAACCACTACGAGGTTTTTGTTAGTCATTTTCTATAGAAATTATAGAATTACTTTTTGCAACCTGAAAAACAAAAACATTTAAAATTTGTATGACAAATTTGATTCATCATTTCAAAAATTCTTTAAATTGAGCATGGAATCTTGAAAAGAAAGATTTTTAAAGAAGTTGTGCAGTGTTAGACATAAGTTTGAAATATAAGAGATTTGTGCAACAGGGGCATCATAACATTACACACAAAAAAATGAACAAATGAAAGGATTTTTCTGTACGAATGAGAAATAATCCATATTTGAAGTATACTGTAAATGTACAACTGATGCTACAAACTTTCCCAAGTAAACCATCTTGTATGGTTATCTGATGCTAATTTTGATATCATCAATATCATGGTGACAAGTTCTATCGGACAGCCAGTACAACATACCAAATACAGCATGCAAAATAATTTATGTAAAATATTTTTATCAGGACTAAGAAGTAGATAATTGGGGATAATTGAACTGGAAAGGATACACAAAGTATCCATGGTTGCCTTTAGGCATAGAACAACTGAAAAGCATTCAGCATCTCAAATTACTAGGGCCTATTTCACTAAAGAGAACTTCACAATTAACATTTTGCATCCAGCGTAACTCATAACGCATTTCACATTCAACTTTTAGCATATTGTATTGGCTTTCAACAAGTCCTTAATATTGGTTAATATCAATACACCATACTATAATTCATTTCTCCACTTACAGTATTACCAAAATTCACCGCAATTAATCTCTCCACTTACAGTATTACCAAAATTCACCGCAATTAATCTCTCCACTTACAGTATTACCAAAATTCATCACTGTCAATCTCTCCACTTACAGTATTACCAAAATTCATCACTGTCAATCTCTTAGCTTACAGTATTACCAAAATTCATCACTGTCAATCTCTCCACTTACAGTATTACCAAAATTCATCACTGTCAATCTCTTAGCTTACAGTATTACCAAAATTCATCACTGTCAATCTCTTAGCTTACAGTATTACCAAAATTCATCACTGTCAATCTCTCCACTTACAGTATTACCAAAATTCATCACTGTCAATCTCTTAGCTTACAGTATTACCAAAATTCACCGCAATTAATCTCTCCACTTACAGTATTACCAAAATTCATCACTGTCAATCTCTCCACTTACAGTATTACCAAAATTCATCACTGTCAATCTCTTAGCTTACAGTATCATCACTGTCAATCTCTCCACTTACAGTATTACCAAAATTCATCACTGTCAATCTCTTAGCTTACAGTATTACCAAAATTCATCACTGTCAATCTCTTAGCTTACAGTATTACCAAAATTCATCACTGTCAATCTCTCCACTTACAGTATTACCAAAATTCATCACTGTCAATCTCTCCACTTACAGTATTACCAAAATTCATCACTGTCAATCTCTCAGTAATGGTTTCAGGGCCCAAAAAATCTATATAACAATTTACATGTTCAACTTTCCAAAACAGGGACATAAAGACAGTTAATAAGTGGTAGGATACAGTACATCAAAAACATCTTTATAAAACTGATCATTTGTTATGTAAATTCTATAGTAATCAATATTCAAAATCAATAAATCTATATCAATTAAAATCTTAAATTCTGTACATGGATTACATCAGTCTATGTAACACAGATATATTTAATAATAAAATTAGATTCTGATTTAACACATGTATATATAACCTTTACAAGAACCATTTCAGCACACTAATTTCATCACATTATCATTATAAAATGAGATACTTTAAAATCATATATTTTTATGGGGACAAATTTTATGGTTTTCAAAAATAAACAAATTAATTGGCACTTGATTTTGTAGTGAAACCTTGCCCATCAAATCCACTAGTACTATAATCTATGTTGACTTTTATCTGTTTATTATTCAGAGTACCTGCAAATTCAATGAAAATAAATCCCCCACGAAAATGGATGATTTTACAGTATACAAAGGATCGGATTAAACAGCTTTGATCCTTTGAACTAGTCAAGCAAGGCAAATTAGGACTTTACTTTCAAACCAACGTATAAGTTGATGTACATACAACATGTATCACAAATAATCAGAACACTACAGCATAGGTCTGGGCAGGTAAAACAATGTTTCCTATGAAAATTTTCATCAGTAAGACATTTATCTTGATTCAATTTTCGTTTTTATCTTTTTGAAGGAAGTTGTCTGTTTTAGCCAGAAGGATCATTTGCAATTGAAACATATGAATGCTCCCTGAAAACAACTTTATTGGACAAAAAATTATAACACAGGGCAATAATTCTGCAGTTAAGGGGTTTCAAGCACTGAATTTAGTACACTGTAACAAAGGGCACTAAATATGTAATTACGGGGCTGCAGCCCCTGAATTTGGTGTGCGGAACATTGTCTTAGTATGACCAATGTATACACCAACTTTCATGATCCTTTCTCCACTGTGCGCAAAGTTATACTCTGGATACAAATGGACAGACAGAAAGACGGACAGACAAAAAAAGCTACCCCAAAAATTTTCAGAAGCATTTTAAGATCACATAAAAAAATGTAAGGGTGTCTTTTAAGAAATTGTAATGTGCATCTACAATTCAAATGTAACAACCTAGTGGATATAGAATACAATCCAGGGACATCTTCATCATTTATACAGGTAAGGTTTACTGCTATTTAAACATGATTAGGAACACATTTTATGAAGTAAAACTTACAGGAAAAAAAATTAAGAAAAGAAAAAAATATCTTCTTATAAATATCTACAGTGAGACGAGAATATATTGTGTGAAAATGCTATAAAATACTAAATTTCTACCATTAAACTGAAAAATCTTTAAATACAATGTGAAAATGAACTCAAATTCTGCTTAGTCTCCATTTGAAAGCTATCTAAAAATATTAAAATACACAAATTCCAACATTCAACAGCTATGTTTGACAAGAGCGTTTCCATCTGATGGAACTTACATAACACTGATAAGGCCTTGTGTGCCTTAGTAAGATATATATTATATAAAGGTAAGGCTGTAGAAGAGAATGCTGTATTTAATCTTACATTTGTATATGTATGTATACATCACATGTATAGACATTTCCTATAATCTTTGAATCAACAAAACTACAATCAATCATATTAAAAAATAAATGTTCCCAATTAGGGTTATTCCAATAAAACATCTAACTGACTTCAGAATCCCAAGATAAATCACTTCTATCCATGCTTTGGTTTCCTGCCAAATTTATATACAGTCAAACTTTGTTATCTCAAAGTCCGTGTGACTGTGGAACCACATACTTCAGTGTACTATCACTTTGAGTTAATCTTTAATCTGTACAAACAATTGTCTCTGTGAACATGTCTCTGTCTCAGTAACGTACCACATACTTCAGTGTACTATCACTTTGAGTTAATCTTTAATCTGTACAAACAATTGTCTCTGTGAACATGTCTCTGTCTCAGAAACGTACCACATACTTCAGTGTACTATCACTTTGAGTTAATCTTTAATCTGTACAAACAATTGTCTCTGTGAACATGTCTCTGTCTCAGTAACGTACCACATACTTCAGTGTACTATCACTTTGAGTTAATCTTTAATCTGTACAAACAATTGTCTCTGTGAACATGTCTCTGTCTCAGTAACGTACCACATACTTCAGTGTACTATCACTTTGAGTTAATCTTTAATCTGTACAAACAATTGTCTCTGTGAACATGTCTCTGTCTCAGTAACGTACCATACACTTCAGTGTACTATCACTTTGAGTTAATCTTTAATCTGTACAAACAATTGTCTCTGTGAACATGTCTCTGTCTCAGTAACGTACCACATACTTCAGTGTACTATCACTTTGAGTTAATCTTTAATCTGTACAAACAATTGTCTCTGTGAACATGTCTCTGTCTCAGTAACGTACCACATACTTCAGTGTACTATCACTTTGAGTTAATCTTTAATCTGTACAAACAATTGTCTCTGTGAACATGTCACTGTCTCCGTAACGTACCACATACTTCAGTGTACTATCACTTTGAGTTAATCTGTACAAACAATTGTTTCTGTGAACATGTCTCTGTCTCCGTAACGTACCACATACTTCAGTGTACTATCACTTTGAGTTAATCTGTACAAACAATTGTCTCTGTGAACATGTCTCTGTCTCAGTAACGTACCACATACTTCAGTGTACTATCACTTTGAGCTAATCTGTACAAACAAACGAAGAGTTGTTGTGAAGGTTATGTTACTTGATAATTTTGACAAATGGGACTATAAGATTATTAAAAACTTCAAATATTCTCTATGCTATTATACCCAGATATAAACATAAAAACAATTGGAAGAACTTGACTTGGTGACTTTTTGATATGGGTTAAAGGTCAAACAGATCCAATCCCAGGAAAGAAGAAGAGGTGAGGTTTCCGCAGTGTACTTTTATATTCAGACATCTGTGACATTTGATCCATTTCAATCTGAGGACACCGAGATATCTTTCTAGAAACCAGCTGGTTCACCTACAAAACAGAAAATTTGGACAAATTAAAACAAACTGCTAAATCTACCGATACAGAATATGAAGTCCTTCCTGTACCAATCACTGCGAGTTTGTAAGCCCCATATTTTGAACCTACCCTGTTTAGCATGGTACACATGTCTTCATTTTTGGCATACTTCATCAAAACTTGGACGAGGGCTTCAATATACCAGCTCCCACGTTCACGATTTCTCCATGCATAATATCCTATCAGAAAGTAAAAGAAGAACAATTTTGAGATAAAGTTTGATTTCAATTGTTATTGGACAACAACAGATAGTATCTATTCATCGGTGAAAATATACAAAATCTGACATTAACCTTTAGACCTATTAACCTTGACCTTTCCAGTCTACAGTGCATTTTTCTGTTCATCATAGGTGTAGGTGACTACCAGGTAGTGCACCATCAAAAGCAAACGTACTAAACTAACTGCTCATTGTTCATCACTGAGTTCTGACCAAGAATTTCTTCAGCTCAAAGAATTAATTCAAATCTACTGTTATTATTGGTCATTTTGATGCAGATTTTATTCACCTCATGAAAGAAATAAACAATATTTCCAGCATGTTGATTTTTAAGTAAAATATTAATTGAACATGTGCAAATACTAGAGTGAAAAGTGGTGGTCATTTAGTAATTTTAGTTGTGTACATTGCCTAGAGACTGAGTATGAGTAAGCTAACCAAATATAAATGAATCAGATGAGAGTTAGAGACAGTAAGAACATTCAATTATGCTGAAGAATCAAAACCCTAAAAGGTTATAAAAAGATTACCAGTTAATACCAATCTAACATTTAATAACAGGAATTCAATGTACATTATGGAATATTCCCCAGACATGTACAAGTGAGGATCAATCTTAGCTGTAGTTATAACAAGTCTAGGAACTTATGAAAGGGAGACAACTTTAGACATGTGACTGGGGCAACTCTGTAAACTCTGGTTGTTGGTGTTCTACAATTTCAACATTATCATGTTTTCTTCACATAAATGTGATTATAACAGAAAAAAAGTTTTAATAAATAGCATATAATAGTAAATAGTAATGATCTCGCATTAAAAAATAAAGGATAAAAAAAGAGGCCCAATGGCCTTAACAGTTACCTGAGTTGCAATGCATCTTGTAACATGTCATAGAAAAGTGACTTAACTACAACTATATTCTACAGATAATGCAAATGTAAATTGTGTGAACATTTACTGCTGTCCCACGCTAAGGCTTCTAACCAAGTTTGAATTAAAAGAAATAACATGGAAGATTTGAAATTTCCTATAAAAAAATCTTCCATCCAAGAACAGTAGAACATCTTTGAAATTCCAGTCAATTTGAAAAATTTTTGGCCCGCCAAACAGCCCCTGGGGGGGGGTCAGCTGAGGTCAATAGGTGCATCTCATAAAACTGTCCTCTTAAACTAATAATTCTAACCGTGTCTGAACTATTAACAATAAAATACAAACAAATTATGTTAACAAATGTAATTTTCTTCTATAAACTAGTAAACTTTAACCCCTCCCTTGTGGGAAAAGTGAGACACTGAGGTCATGAAATTTACAATTATGGAAAAGCATCTGAAGGCCTTTCCATTCATGAAGAGACTTGATTCCAACAAACCTTGGATTTGAGGAGAAGTTTCAATCAATATGACCCTTTTTGGCCCTTCCCCTAATGCCCCTGGGGGTTGGGGACCATATAATTTACTATTTTGGTATGCCTTAAGCCATGGAAAGTTTTGTGTAAAATTTCATTAAAATTAGTTCAGGAGTTTTCAAGAAGAAATCAAAATGTTAAAAGTTTACGATGCACGACGGCAGACAAAAGGGGTTTGCGATAGGTTATGCTGAGACCTTAAACACTATGCTGTGACAAATACTTGATCAAGTGATTCTTCCCCTTTTTTCTGAAAATGATGTTTAAAATTTCCATTTGACTGCAATAAAGTATTTTTCTTATCAAGAAAATTTGTTAAAAGATCTGATTTTTCCTTTTTTCACACACATTTTCTATTGCTACATACTAAGTTAATTTCCCCTGAAATCTAACAGTATACTGACAAAATTTAATTCTTTTTTACTGCAGTAATAGAGATTCAAAGAAGGAATATAACTCCTCCACAATTGTGATCACTTCTATTGATGTCTTGTACTGTGCTACATTGAGTACAATGGAAGTGGGGTGGAAAAGATTCCATGTGATATGTCAAGATACCAGATAATGTGAACTTTTTTGTCAGTTACTCCAGTTCCTTATATTCATCGATGTAATCAGGAGTCGCCATAACTTGTCCATAGAACTGACTTGTCAACAGAAATCGTTATCACTTGTCAACACAACTTCTCAACAAAATTTATAAAAACTTGTCAATAGATGTAACTTGTCAACAATTGCTATAACTTGTCAACAGACATAACTCATCAACAAGAGTTACTATAACTTGTCAATAGACATAACTCATCAACAAGAGTTACTATAACTTGTCAATAGACATAACTCATCAACAAGAGTTGCTATAACTTGTCAATAGACATAACTCATCAACAAGAGTTGCTATAACTTGTCAACAGACATAACTCATCAACAAGAGTTACTATAACTTGTCAATAGACATAACTCGTCAACAAGAGTTACTGTAACTTGTCAACAGACATAACTCATCAACAAGAGTTACTATAACTTGTCAACAGACATAACTCATCAACAAGAGTTACTATAACTTGTTACTATAACATCAACAAGAGTTACTATAACTTGTCAATAGACATAACTCATCAACAAGAGTTACTATAACTTGTCAACAGACATAACTCATCAACAAGAGTTACTGTAACTTGTCAACAGATGTAACTCATCAACAAGAGTTACTATAACTTGTCAATAGACATAACTCATCAACAAGAGTTACTATAACTTGTCAACAGACATAACTCATCAACAAGAGTTACAACTTGTCAATAGACTAACTAACTTGTCAACAGACATAACTCATCAACAAGAGTTACTATAACTTGTCAATCAGACATAACTCATCAACAAGAGTTACTATAACTTGTCAACTTGTCAGACATAACTCATCAACAAGAGTTACTATAACTTGTCAACAGACATCAACTAACTCATCAACAAGAGTTACTATAACTTGTCAACATAACTCATCAACAAGACATAGACATAACTTGTCATCAACAAGAGTTGCTATAACTTGTCAATAGACATAACTCATCAACAAGTGTTGCTATAACTTGTCAACAGACATAACTCATCAACAAGAGTTACTATAACTTGTCAATAGACAAAACTCACCAACAAGAGATACTATAATTTGTCAACAGACATAACTCATCAACAAGAGTTACTATAACTTGTCAACAGACATAACTCATCAACAAGAGTTACTATAACTCGACAACAGAAAAAACTCGTCAACAAGAGTTGCTATAACTTGTCAACAGACATAACTCATCAACAAGAGTTACTATAACTTGTCAGTTACTATAACTTGTCAACAGACATAACTCATCAACAAGAGTTGCTATAACTTGTCAGTTACTATAACTTGTCAACAGACATAACTCATCAACAAGAGTTACTATAACTTGTCAATAGACATAACTCGTCAACAAGAGTTACTATAACTCGACAACAGACATAACTTGTCAACAAGAGTTACTATAACTTGTCAGAGTTACTATAACTTGTCAACAGACATAACTCATCAACAAGAGTTACTATAACTTGTCAACAGACATAACTCATCAACAAGAGTTACTATAACTTGTCAATAGACATAACTCATCAACAAGAGTTACTATAACTTGTCAGTTACTATAACTTGTCAACAGACATAACTCATCAACAAGAGTTGCTATAACTTGTCAGTTACTATAACTTGTCAACAGACATAACTCATCAACAAGAGTTACTATAACTTGTCAGTTACTATAACTTGTCAACAGACATAACTCATCAACAAGAGTTACTATAACTTGTCAACAGACATAACTCATCAACAAGAGTTACTATAACTCGACAACAGACAAAACTCATCAACAAGAGTTGCTATAACTTGTCAATAGACATAACTCATCAACAAGAGTTACTATAACTTGTCAATAGACATAACTCATCAACAAGAGTTACTATAACTTGTCAACAGACATAACTCGTCAACAAGAGTTGCTATAACTCGACAACAGACAAAACTTGTCAACAAGAGTTACTATAACTCGACAACAGACATAACTCATCAACAAGAGTTACTATAACTTGTTATTAGATAGTAATGATCACATCTAGAACGATTACCAACTACACTGATATTTAAGTTTATGTATGATATTTACCTGACTGTGTTGGATAACAGATCAGCATGTCTGACATGGTTGGAAGTTGTCTCATGCTCGGATGGGACCCATCAATCTCATCTGCTTGTTTCCATGCTACACCTTCATCTAGAGCTCCTAATCAACAAATGAATCTTTTTTGTAATTTCACATTGGTAGGATTACAAAATAAACTTGTTTGATAATGCTCTATTAAAAGTGAGTTCATTATACTGGTTTCAAAATGTAAGATGAAAATCAGAAAGCCATCTTATTTTTCTAAATCAGAAAGTCATCTTATTTTTCTAAATCAGAAAGTCATCTTATTTTTCTAATTAATTGAGGCTGCAATGCTGGGAAGCAAGGAAAAATGTTTATCAAGAAAGACAATCCCTAACTCCTGCTGACCACCCTGTTGGCCATCTTGTGTTGTGGTAAATGTGCCGTTTTGGGTATATATATTCAGACCAAAAATGTACAATGCCTAATTCGGATAATTCTGTTAAAACATCTATCCTACTAATGGACTCCTGGTTTTGTTTAGGGATATTTCCCATAGAATTTAATTGATAATTCACTTAGAAGTGATACGGAAACTGAACCATCAATAGAAATGACTTAAGAGTCCTGGGGTCAAGCAGATGTTTTACTGGAATAGCTCTTTGGGTCAATGGAAATTAAACTTAAAGTTAAAGATCTGATTACTACTTTCAGATTACTACTTTCTGAGAAATAATCAACACACAAGAAATGCTTGTAAACATGTTAAATTAACAACAACGTGAATGAAAGGTGATTTGAATAACATTAACATCTACACATTCAATGAACACAGGGCTCTCACACCCCATTTTGGGCCTGGGGCCCTTAGAATTGGGAAAAATAGGGCGTTTTCCTTAGAATTGGGAAAACTTGGGGTCTAAATTGCTAAAAAAAGATACCATTTTGCATTGGCAATGAGCCGAATATTGGCCCCAAATCTGGCAGATCGAGAGCCCTGGATCATTAATCACTACAACTAAATGTAGTCAGGTTTCTGGTCATTTATTACAGCCTGCAAGTTATATCATACGATAATCAATTCCTACGGCTGCTACACCTGTATAAACCTATGTATTCTGTGTCTGCCTGTCTGGGTCAATGTTTACTGTGGTCACTCCAAAATAAACCTAGGATCCCCTGGTTAATTCATTTTTCCCTAAAAGAGTTCCCAGGTTGAAACTGATTTAACCTAACCGACATGGATGTAAATTAACAGAACCCATACACATTTGTCAGATTGTAGAATAACCACATCTTTACAGAACCTACAGAAATTTAACAGATTATTTTTTTTCTCAAACTTACCACCTCCACAAAATTCAGTACAAATTTGACAGATTAATAGTTTCAAAACTTACCACCTCTACAAGCCTGAATGAAGAAAATCTTTGGTTTGCCAATGAGACTTTTACAACTATTGTTGTCAAACAGAGAGAAGATGTCATCCAATTTAAGTTTGTTTCCATCTGTGCCAAACAGGTATCCTTCCTCTCCGTGACTGAGAAGACACACCACACAGCAGTCTGCATGGACATGATCCTCCAGAGAAGCAAATTGCTGCAGTTTTTTCCCAATATCCTGTCAGAAGAGATTCACTTTGAAAGTAAAGCTAGCAGTCATTCTTAACTAGTCACACGTAAAATTGAAGCAAATATCTTTTGTTTTTGATCAGTAGGTCAAGGATATTTGTAAAGACTAACTTGACTGTTCTTTTTTGTGTGAAAATAGAAAATGTCTGCATGGCATGAATGCCTCTACTGTTACACAAGTCAGAACCTTAAAAACTAATAAAGTATAAAACTTAATGTTATGATGGTAAATATGAACCATATCCATCAAGATCGCTTAATCACAAATCTCCAATATAACATTTCACATAAATTTGGACATACGTCTGCTGTAAGTTTGTCGGAATCGTTGTAGACTGTGACACAGAAGTGAAGCTGAGTAAGCAGATTGTGAAGGTTATCTCTGTCTATATTAGTTCCTCGTCTTGGTAACTTCCCCTCCACTTCATTAACATTGATGATCAGAGCTTGGCCCCGTGGAATCCTTCGCATCGCGTAAGACTACAACAAGTCATATGAACATGTCGTCAAAACTTTTTGAGCTCACGCTTTGCATAGCCGAGACTTCTTTAGAAGGAATAAAAACAAGAAAAACCTTAATTGTTATTCAATACTTAATCTTGATACCTTTTAAATTTATGTGGGTTTCTTGTGAAATAGTGTATAGTTGTTAAATTCCACAAGGTTAATATTTCCCTTTTGTTCTGGTTTGGGCAGTTTCCAAGTAATAAATTTGTACATATCTATGAACTTGTGTCCATGTACGGTATATAGGCATGAAAGGTATTTCGTGAGATTTTCGTTCACTATAAAGACGTTGGCTGGGATTTTAATTCTGCGCTATCTTTACTGATAAGGGATATAGTATAATTAAATTTCCATGAATATCACCAACTATACAGTATTTTAAGATGTAAAGGAATCATCCATTCATATTCATTCTCAATAAATTAATTCACTAATTTTGCACTTTTTTTGTAATAGGTGTCAATATTTAAGATAAACTAAATTATCACTGCTACAGAATAAAGGCTTATTATTACTGTAATGCACCACAATGACAGAGATGAAAATTTAATGTAAATCAGTAGGACTTTTTAAAGACATAAAAAAAAAGATACAAACTTTCTTGAAGTGACTCAGATAAAACTGCCGCTGACAAAGTGCAACATGTACGGAGACTGGTCCATCAGTAAGGTCAATATCTGGATCATCAAACTCTCCGATGGATTGGAAAGGAGGGACATGGGTGTTCCTCTGGCTGCCTGGGTCCACCATAAAGATTTCTGGATTGTACATTCCCTGTGATTCATATGATGTGTCTCTGACACATATTGGACCCCCAGATCCATCTCTTACAGGTAAAATCACAGTTTCTTCTGTCCGAAGTCGTTTGATACCTGTCAAATCAATGTTAAGTTAATTTGTTTCTTTCTGACAAACATGATACCAAAGCCTTCAACATTACATCGATTACAGCCCTGCCATACTGTGTAAATAAAATAATTCACATCTATAGTATCAGCTTAAAGAACAGGACTATCAGGTGTCTGTTTCTGGCAAAGCTAGATTTATTTGAAGGTTTTGTTAAAGATCAGAAATTGGGACATGAATGGAAATTACCGTGTTTTAAGTTTAAGTATTGCATATCTATGAGTATCTTATGTAAAATTATTTACAAAAACCGGGTTTTTTTCTAATTACATTTCATACAAATAGCTAGTTAATAATACATTCTGAAACTAACATGGAAGGCACAGGTCAATTATAGACTTGAATAAATGTTTGAACACAAACATATAAAACATTATTAAATTCATCACAGCTACTTGTACAGGGGCTTTCAGGGTCTGTCACACACATGTACATACATATGTTACAATGCAAATCACAACAGATGTGTCAATCCAAATCAAATGACATATGACCTGTTTTCCCATAGTCAGAAATATTTGCCATTTAAATGAGAAAACCATTTTCTTGTCATATGTTAATATTTGACAAGTTTTTTTTAATATCTGTTAGATAAGTTTGATAGATCATCAGAGGTCAAAGAAGATTAACCAGAAGTGTAGACCAACCACGACATCTAGCATGGCTGAAATCAGGTTACTTGTCGATAACAAAAGTTAAAAACAAAATTCCAGTAAATCTGAACAGCTTCATCCAAAATAAATGAATATAGACTGTACATTGCAAAACTAGATATCATTTTCACTCACCAGGATGGTCATGAGAGTCCTGACTGGGATTGAAAGGTCGTTTGATTATACCATCTGAAACACAGGATAATACATTCAACTCAAGAACAAAACTCTCAAATCACAATCGATCTGGCTTTGATTTTCCATCCAAGAAGCTCAAACTTTAGAAAAAAAATACAATATCGTAATGAAAAAAAAATAATTGAATTTGTCAGTAATATTCGATGGAAATCATTAACATGTTCACAGTGATTTTTTAAAGATTTTTCAGGCAAGTCATGAATATTGATATCACCCTTTTAGTATTAGCCTTTCTTCCACATACTTCCCAACTCCATATAAGATTTTAAAACAGAATATGCAGAAAAGCCGATTTCAAATATGATTGTGACAAAGGGATAAAGACTCAGATAGTGAATACCTTCATAATGTTTCAGTAACCTACAACTGTTACAAACGTACCTAGACTATCAGTGCGTGACAACATTTCTCTGTCACTTTGTCGTATTCGGAAATATTCCTCTTGTAAAGATGATCTCTGTCCCACATACTCTTGTCCCTGATGGGCAACAAATACCTCCCTGGGAGTCATATTGGGAAGGGTATACATGGAGTCCTTTGTCACATAATGTTTGGACCTGATTCTGTTGTTTAAATATTCCTCATGTTCTCTCTCTATATAATCTTGATTTTCAGTCAAGCCCTTTTGAGTATGCATCATATATGGCATCTTTTGAAATCTAGCTTTGTCTGGTATTGTGTTCCATGTGTTTCCATGGGAACTGTACTCTGACCACTCTGGGTCCTTCAGATGTTGATTTTCTGACCCGGCACCATAACTATATGGATTTTGTTTTTCCAAGTAAGGTTTTGGTAAATTGCTGTAACGATCAGGTCCCTGCTCCTGCATGATGGCCGCATACTGAAACTGTGATCTGCTTGGAGCAAGAACAGAGACCCCTGACGGACCAGCAAATTCAACAGACCCCGAGTTATTTTCTGAAATTTTGGTAATCTGGGTATTTTCTGGGATTTTTTCTGTTTTCTGTGTTGATGTTTCTGTTTCTTTGACACATTTTGTCTTCTCAGAACTTTGATCTTTTTCTTCTTTCTTTCCGTCTGATTTCAAGTACAAGTCAACAATATATTCTTGTTCAGTAGCAATGAGAGCATCACAAAAGCCTTGAAATGCATTAGGTCCATTCAAGACATCCAACAGTTTTTCAGTTCTTGCTTCAGGAGTTGAACACGCCTGGAAATTAATTAAAATAGGGAATTATTATAACAAATGGTTGCTAATGAACTGTTTCTATCTGACTTGTTTTACACAAGAAGAGTAGAAAAAGAATTACTCAAAAAGCAGAAAATGCAAATACATGTTACAAATAATTGTGATTCCCTTCACACAAAAATTCTCAAAAGCTGCCTTCTTCAAATGGAAATATTTCAGACAGAGGATAGGATCACAAATCTTTGTGTTGACCAAATCAGTCTTGGGTGTAATACTGAACATGTAGGATAAGCATAAATGTGTTGTACTTACTGAGTCTTCTGACTCTAGTGTTTTGTCTCAATTTCTGATAGTCAAAAAATCTTATAGAACTGTTCAATATCCAATTCTTCCAACAGAAAGACCAGCTTTAAAACATCCCTTCTCAAAATAATAGTTTGTTCAATGGGAGCATATATGAACCTTTCACTTTTCTGAGGTTTTAAGTTTTGAATACATGCAATCTTCATCAGTTATATGTGTTGAAAATTGCAGCACTTTTAAGTCAAAAAGAATAACTGGAACACTCCCAAGCCTACTTTAGAACACCTTTTTGAGCTCACCTGTATTGTGTTGCCGACACGTTTAGAAATTATTTTACGTGACAAGAGCTGTGTGATAAGTCCATCATCAATATTTATGTTATCGACGAGGTCCACTCGACTTGTTCGCAGAATCTCCTTGTGCTGCTTGTCCATTCTTAGTTTTAAAGCAGGCTCTCTGTCATTTTCTACAAAAGAAAACAAGAATAGAGATTCAAAACAAAACAAAATATTATCTAAATGTAAAATAAAATCATTTGTCTTTTCACCTGCCAGTAAGTTAAAAATCTGTTCATTCCACTATACTTTGACAGAGTAAAACTTGAAAGTTTTTTCACCAGATTTCTTGTCAAGCATCAGTCAAATGAATAAAAATCAATTATGAATCATACAACATAAATATCTCATATTCGAAAAACATTTTCAAAATTATCACTTTTTATGACTCATTTCTTACATGAATAAACTAATGGGTTGTAGATAGATAAATGACAAAGGAACAGTTTGTGGTATGGAAAAACAAAAATCAACTAATAAATATGGCTAATATGAGAAAAATTACCAAATATTAAATATTTACATTGTACATCTAATCATTTAAAAAGGCACACACACATGTACAGCAATTGATAACCACCAATTTCAGAATATAGTTTTACATATTTGTTTTCATAAAAATATCATTCATGTGCCCAGTGATGATTTTATGTAATATCTGTGTCACTGTTGGCTAACTCAAGCATCTCTGTTATCCAGTGTCATCAGGAAAGGAAGTGCAGTCACATTCAAATACATGTCTGTCATTTCAGGTGAATGAATTTGAGGTTGTATCCACACAACAATTTAACAAATAAATCTTCCAGTATGAACATACTTCATTACATTTATTCACGCATACATATTTGGACGAGATTCATTCTGCATGTCAAGACAACATGGTATGGTTAGAAATCCTTTCAATTCACAGCCACCTGGGTGTGGAAAAGTCTAATTTATGGAGTTTGATATGCAGTTGCAGTAGATGTAGCTCCTGAAGATTTGCATTTCTTCTCATAAAATATAACTGGTCAATTTAATCCCTTTGTCCCATTAATCGTTAGTTTTTATGTCATATCTATATATGACCATTAGACACATATCTCTTAATATATAATCTACAAGCAGCACTATAATATTGTAGTACTTCAATATGTTTGTAATACCTTTTAAAAATAATGTATTCTATGCATTCAGTTTACGTGGTGCATGATCGTAATGTTTTGTTGTTTATTATTGTACCACTGTTATAGTCATAAGCATTGCATACTAAACTAATGTTAATTGTTTCAAAACACAGATAAAATAAAAGTTCTTGTATTTTGTATCTTGTTTAACTGAAATAGCGTAGCTAATGAGTCTAAAGCTGAGGTCCGAATGCGCCAAAATACCCGTCTTAGACCCATGTCTGCAGACTACAGGTACAACATGTATCGTGTATGTGTTTTACGGTCTTCCTATTCACTATTTTGAAACATCTCTTGGTGGAATACAACGCTAAAATGAAAGGCGTTCTCGTTAGATTGAAAAATGAATTAACTTTTTTTTCTGTAAAATGCTCGCCCACATGTAACGACAGCTAGCGCCATTTTCAAAATATTGAAATAAGCACCAACCTATCGGTCGCGTGAAGAACTTATCATACAACCAACACTGGCTATATATATATATATAAATCCAGTTAATATAGAAATGCAGAAGTCCAAAGTAAGGATTTTCTTGTTGTGTGTTTACCTATTTCTGGTTCCTGCACTGTATTTTTCCAAGTTTCCAAACTTCGTCCATTTTCTCAACATGATTTTAACGCCTCACTGTTTGCTCAATGGGAGAGCGAAACAAGGGAAACAACTTATGTGAATGAAAATTTTATATTAGAATTAGTAAATTTCGTACAGCCCATTCGCAAATAGCTTGAAATGGATTCATGATTTTGGCAAGTAACAAGTAGATAAATACCTTCCTATGAAATCTATTGAATGGTAAACGGTAATAAGATGAAAGAAGATATTGGCTCATTACTAAGGCCATATTACGGTTTAACGGGACGTCTTATATGTCCCTGGTTTAAGTAAATAACTCTCTGTAACACTAAGATATAGTTTTCCCACTTTAATAGTCAATTATTTTTAAATCATGAAATGCCTCCATATGAAAGGTCCACTGGTCATAACTTATCTTAAATTGCCCGCACTTGTTTGCCTGCATTAGAATTCCGATCGATAATAATTGAAACGTGTCATTGCAGGATACGACAAACATTGAGGGATGGAGAAGTGGGTGGAATAAATGATCTTATATTGACAGGACATCAATGACATTTTTGGTTTTTTTTTTTTTTTTGTTTTTTTTTGTGTGTGTTTTTTTAAATATTATTTTTGCCTGCCGGATTATTTAGACAACCTTTTAATTCTTCCTTTCAGTATAAAATGCAAAATGATTAAAGTACCAATCAAGGGATAGATTTTGAAAATGACCCCTCCAGTAGTTGGCTAGAGATCCCTGCATGATCTTAGTTCCCGAAATGTAGTCTGAGAAAGAGAAATCCAGAAACTTTCACGAATTAAGGATAACAAACTTCCTATTCAAAATCAAAGATGGCCACCTGTCAGCCATCTTGTTTTTTCAATTCAATCCCAAACTCAAAATAGCACAACCAAGGACCAAGGGGGACCTATCGAAAAAATCATTTCTCAGTATTTTCAAACAAATAGCAATAGCAAACCTTCCTATTAAGAAATCAGGACGGCCACCTTTCAACCATATGAAATCTGAGAAAGATCCAAACAGCACTTCTCCAGAAATATGGCTGCCAGTCGACCATATTGTTTCCAAGATTGGTACCAAAAAATTAAACAACTCGAGATAAAATGTAGCCTACACATGAAATATGAAAATTATTCATCAGGTACTTCTCAAGAAATAGAGATAACAAATAATTGATGTCAAAAATGGCTTGTCGACCAGTATTTTTTTTCTGGATTAGTCCCAAAAGCAAACAGGCCCTACAAGGGACCAAAGGAAATCTACATATGAATTTTGGGAAAGATCCATCCAGGCCTTCTACAGGAATAACAATAACAATAACAAATTAAGACCGTTAAAATACAAGGTGACTTTTAGCTTTTCCGAACAAAAGGGACTATGCACAACTAGGGACAAGGTCCCTATGACCTATGAAATTTGAGAATGATTCATTGAACAACACATCTTTAGAAATAGTACTGTCAAAATCTAAGATGGCGGCCATATTATTTTTCAGATCAGTTCATAAATCAGACAAGAAACAACTAGGGACCAAGTGAAATCTAACGTAAAGTTTGAGAATGATCCATCAAGCACTTCCCCAGAAATAGCCAGAAGAAATTATTACTGTGAAAAAATCCAAGATCGTCACTGGTTGGTAATTTTGTTTTTCCAAACTGTCCCAAAGTGGTATATTGTACAACTAGCAACCAATAGAAACCGTACATATGAAATTTGAAAATAATCAATCCATTACCTTTCAAATCTTGACAAAAACAAGAATTATTTAATGTTGAACAGATGAACAACAGAATGCTTCAGACCAAATTTGGATGAAATACTGCCATTCTTACAGCAGGAATGATTCCTCTTGTTTCCCTATTGGTTCCCACCCTGCTACCCCTATGGGGATTGAGACTCACCGTTTACATAAAACTGAGTTCCCTTCAGCCAAGGATGCTTTAGACCAAATCCTATCATTCCGACAAAAAAAATATTCTAAATAATTTGATGTATATCCCGTTTGGGGCCCACCCTGGGCCTCTTGGAAGCGAGGATCCACCAACATTACAAAAACAAAATTTCTTTCCCATTCTGAAGACTGCTTTCATCCAGATCTGCTCAGTTGTCCGTAACTAGTAGAGATTTTTAATAAAAGCTGACATAGAGATGGATGGACTGAGAGATGATGGATGCTGTGTTATGCTAAAAGCTCACCTGGCCCTTTAATTAGGCCACGCAAGCTAGTAAACTGTAGCAGTCAAAATCAAAGCTCAATATCCACTTTGAAAGGCAAAAATCACAACAATGAATGTAATTATAATCAAATTTTTTAATTGCAATGAACATGGAGATATAGGTGGTTAACTGAAAGACATGTTCATTACACCAATAAATAAGCTTGAATTATATAACAGCTGTAACACAAAAAACTATTGGTGATCAAAATACATGCCATGTAATTCCTATAAGCTCAATTATATATACATTTATATATATCTAACCATTTAACTAAATAGAACAGCAAGTGCATGCATTGGTGAAAGCAAAAATCTTTCTAGAGTAAATCATTGACTAGTTATTATTACACGATATATGGCACCAAAAATAAAAATTATTATGCAAAATTTTGTTAAGAAATGTTATGGAACCTTATCTTCTGCCAATCTATCAAATAATACTACTTGTAGCAAGCTGGTTCCTTAATGTGATATAATACTTGAGTTGGCTAAAAGCAAGTATGACATTTGATTTCCTTTTTTAAAATGCTTTTTTACACTATAAAAGCAATAATAAATAACATACATCTCATTCCACGTGCTCCGTGATATCACTGAAGTAAATAAGTGGTCATTAAAAATGTAAAACAGTTTTTGAGTACATTTTTACATTAAAAACTTCAGCTTAATACATTATATGAATATAAAATACACAATATCAACTAAATACATCAAAGTAGAAACAAACACAAGACTTTTGATACAACTTATATATTGGTACATGAAGTTTAAACACACAAGCCTCCGTTTGATATATTTACCAAACTTTAACTAAAAATGTTGAGTAAAAATACAGCTATGCAAGTTAAGAATATCTTTGAATTCAGCTTTACCGATGAAGAAAAATAGATATTCATGTATGAAATTTCTTGTTCACATGTAGAAAAGTTTAGAGACATGTTTTGTATCTGTGAAATATTTTCTGGAGTATGATGGTTTTAACGGATTTTAGGAAACAAAAATATTGAAATAATGAAATTATACTCAAAGACCAATCCTATATCATATCATTAAAAACTTCAATCAAGAACACTTGTTTATTATGCAAGGAAGTGGCAACTATAATTCCTCAGTTGATTGGAATTTTTTCACAAGATACAGTTATTCATTAACTCCTCTAAAATGAAGATTCAGCTTAAACATGTAGGATTTTACACGAGTTTCTGTTTGATATGTAAAGTTATGAAACAAGTCTAAACATGCTTCATTTGATCTCAATGTTGAATTTGGTGAGCTAAAATGAAAAATTTGTGATGTCTGTCATAATTTATAATCCTTTTCACAATGATGTTTCAAGCAAATACTGCAGAAAACAGACAATTCTAGATTAAACTTTAAAAGTAATGTCTATGTCTATAGTCTCCATGGTTACAACACAATGCCATCTGTATGTGTGTGACATCATTAGAGTTTTTAAAGTGACGTCACATGAGTAATATGCAAAAATATGACATGGTTAAATTTACTGAATTACAGGACAATCGTGTCATAAATGAATTTCTCCATGTAAACTAGATAAATCTGGATTAACATAAAGGATATTTGTGTTTAACATACAAGACTCAATACCAAGGAATAATGATGGATAAGTCTAGAGTGTCATGCCATCAAATTTACAATCCTATTACAAGCAATTTACAAGCAACTATTGTCTCTGTCTCAAAAACTGTATCATTGTAATTATGGAACAAAGTTGTTACCCTTGAATATTGCATCTATAGCTTTATTTAAGTCTGATATTCTAACACAAAAAAGTGAAATTATGGTTGGAAAAGTAGAGGGAGGGGAAATAGAATGAATTGTGTCTACTGTCCATAAATGTTTATGTACTTTAGGTCTAGCTTTCCTTTAAGGGATAAAGATCTGTTGATTTAGTCTACAGAGCTTGGTCTTGTTTTGTGTGGCTCCAAGAATATTATGAGTTCAATTGTACACTGCATTGACCCTTATCATCCAAAGTTAGAGAAAATGGGTCAAACTACAGGAATTTGCATAAACTGCAAACACCAAAAATTCCATCTACCAATACACTCTATGAATCAGAGCTCTTCATCTTTACATCACAATAAAAATTATCACTACACATAAGTGGTAAATTATATATGGAATTTATAAATTCACAGTTTAGCTATTAAACATGGTTATATAACTTCTGAAGTACCTTTTTCAGTGGAGCTACTCTTAATTCTGATTTCTGTGTTCTCTGCATCAACAGCCATACATGGTCTTTTCAGTATTTCTCAAGAAATAGCAATAACAATCTTTATTGAAAAAATCTGAGATGGAAGCCTGTCAGCCATTTTGTTTTTCTTATCAGTCCAAAAATCAAATGGGCACAAATAGGGACCAAGGGGAGTCTAGATATGAAATTTGAGAAAGATCCATCAAGTTCTTCTCAAGATATAGCAATAACAAAATTGTTTATGGATAGACGAACGGGCAAAAGACCCAGGACATAGGTCAATTTGAACAGCAGATGGTGGGCTAAAAATGAGAAATCATGTAGCTAATTTCAAGTTCAAGTACATGCAGTTTACATTTATAGAAAATTTGAATATTTTTTTGTTGGAAAGTATGCTATGTTACAGTATCTCCCTTTGAAATTTAATCTCTGTTTCTGATACACCCAAAACTATGATACTTGTATTATAAAACAGTACAGGGAATGGCAGCAGCGAAATGCAGTGAAAATAATCAAATGGAATATCTAGAATAAACACAATTTACATCAATTTTCTTTGTGGAAGACAAAATGGCATAAATTTGAAGAACACCTTAGTTATCTTGTATTGTAATAAATATATGTACTAATTTATACAAACATAAACAAGTTGATTCAGCTAGTAGTTTAATTTACATACTGCATATTCAGTCCTTTCAATGAGTTTGATATTTTCATGTTTTCACCATTAATGAGGAAAACTGATTTAAAAGCTGAACAAATTAAACTGAAATCATGGGAATGTCTAACTGTCATCGATATTAATCACTCTAATATCAACTTGTAAATAATCATTTTGATTGTATTTATTACAATGTATACTAAATTGTGTATTAGAAGACCACAGAAAAATGTTGATCTGATGAAACCGACAACATTCTGCACCCCTACCCTGTCAAGCTTATCAATATAGAGTGGAACAAAGGGCAGTAATTCTGGGTATCAGAAGGAGCCGACAACAACTCTGTGAACTGTTTGTCATACCCTCTGTCACACAGGGAGAAATGATTTTATTCCATACTTCACAGCTGTGCTTGCTAAATAAAGATAAATAAGTCTTTTCCTAAGAAAAAACTTAATTCATGCTTTCATTCTTAACAATGCATCACTCACAGGAGGATCCATCATCAATTTATGTAGTGTAGGAATGTCACAACCCAGTCCTTTGGACCAAGTGAATTAAATAGTCATAAACTATATTAACTACAGTACTTAATAAAATATGTTACTAATAAATACAGTAATTAAATAAAATCATAATAATTTTAATATGTGCTCATTTACATCAGTAAATCTATGATGCAAAATCTTGTGTTACTTTATCAAGACATGCTGAATGAATTAATAAACTGTAAAAGAATATTTCATCGAGGAAAATTACATGAAAATTTACATTGAAAAGTCTTTTGTTTTGTTTGGCAGTATGCTAAAATATGAAAGGCCTATTTTCATGGCCAAAATGAGTGTTGTCTCCGTAAAAAGAAGAAAAGAATATCATTCATTGCAGTTTTCAAATTCAAAGAAAAGTTTCCTTGTTTTCCTCAAATCATAAATGTACATACCTTCAGAACAAAATAAATGCATGTTCCTGACAATTGTTGGCAATTGATCACAAGAAAAACATAATTTTAAGAATATTTCAAATCAACAATATCATTTTGTTCATCAAAATATGAGGCAAAAATAAGAAAACAAGTACAAGTGGTATTAAGGACTGATATAGCAAACCTCAGACCTATGTAGGAACTTGGATCTCTTTATCACAAATTTGTACAGCAGCTATATGTATGCATTGAGTGTATTGTACTCATCAAATTGTGTTAATGATGTGCAATTATCAATAACTACCAGAATGCCAACATAAAAAATATCTCCTGATTTTAGAATATATCAATATAATTTCAATTAAGTGTATTAAATTCTGTCATTTTTCCTATAGTTTTGAATGCTGATTGAAATACTTCACAAAAAGTAACAGCAATAATTAATACAATGAGATCTGAGTCACTTCAACATACTGTATCATCTTTTATCATACAATTGGCTCTTCAGGTCAACAGTTAAACACTGACACTAAGTAATGAGGCAAGAAAAAGCATTACCTGGCATTTCTATTTAATTTGTGAACTTGCAATAATATATTGGTAGGCTCAAAACTACAACACCAGGCAAAGACTTGTAAAGCCTGATAATTCTTCACTTTTTACACTTCATACATACAGTATAGATAACCATTGAGTAAGCCCTATAATGAATTTGAGATTCAATTAGCATTTGCCTTCTGAATAGAGACATCTGTGTAAACAGGAAGTGGTTTCCTAGACCCATTCACGACGCTACCAGGTGGACCTTCATTTATTTTAGTGTAAGCATACAAGAAGATTCCGAGAATCACAAGTACGTTGCCACACCACCACATCAAAGTTTTATATTCGTGGTAGAACATGATTGCCAACATCGTCTGTATCACTGACTTAGCATTGATACTGATATGATGTGTCACAGGAGATGTGTATTTCACTTGTAATGCACTAACCCAGCCAATTGATAAGCTAAGAAAGCCAGAAAATGTCAAGAACATCCAGAAGCTTGCATTGGTCACAAGATCTGATGATAACACCTGCTGAGCTTGGCCAGAACTGATGACAAGTGGCAGGAAGATCCACACACTGTTTATGTTGTTATAGTAGGCTTGCTTCAAACTGTCACCATCTAAAACCACTTCCACCCTCTTGAAATAAATTCCACAGACTGCATTTGCTAAACTTGCAAATATTCCATAGATCATTCCCCAAATACTGAGGGTACCAGCATTATCCTCTTGGTCAGTGCCAATAACAAATCCCATGATTACCAATGCACATGAAGCAATTCCTAAAATTGGGACAGACTTCTTCAGAATGCAAAAGGAAAGTATTATAGTGAAAATCAATGTGAAAGATCTAGCCACCTGGTAGAAGGCAACACCAATATGCTTTAACATTAAATTGTTGAAAGTCAAACCGATGACAAAAGAGAATGAGAGTTTAAGCATATCACTGTTCAGTAACTGATGTAGATCAAGTGTGGGGAGTGCCAGACCCAGGCGTAGGTGTCCAGACCACCATGTAACTAGTTTGATGAGGAAAACTGCTGAAAGACTTTGGTACCAAGCGACAAATATCGATAAATCGTTGATACCATAACTACCACTCAGGATGTGCTTGTTGATAAAAACCATGGAAATAGACACAATCCAATACAGGGAGATGACACATGCAATCTGTTGTGATGACCGTTTTGTTTCCATAGTAGAATCAGAGGAACTTCATAAACCAGGAAGTTGAACTCAATAAGATCTGCTGAATGGATTTCAAGTGATGTGTCCCTATTTCACCAAGAGGTTCCCTGACTTGGACTTTGCTGCTCCTCAATTTGTGTCAACAGGTTTCCTAATAAAAACAAAACATTTTTCATCACATTTACATCTAATACACTGCCACAAATTTGGTACAAAAACAGATAAAGGCAATCAATGTTTAAAATCAGAAATCTGATGCAATCATCAGCAGCAGCCACTAAGGTTAATATCAGATATAGGATATCAACAAAACATTGACCACATTCATCAAGCTGAAGACCAAGTTGAGAGAATGAGTAAACAGGCTGGGAACATACATGATGTGACTGACGAACTATTCACTGCAGAGGGTTTTTTCTTGCTGAATTCAGACACATTGGTGTGGTGTAAAGGTAGTCAAAAAGTGCTTTTCTTTCTTTCATCATTACTTCTTAATAGCAATACAAAATGACAAACATGTATTCAAAAAATAGGAGACCATGATGGCCTATGTATGGTATAAAATATAATTCATATTCGTAAACAGAAACTTCAAAATTGTTGTTTAATTTGTTTACAATTTAATAAACTATACACTGTACATGCACAGGTGTAATCCAATGGACAGCCACACTTTATCATGTACAGGTAAGTGAATCTATGTTAAGAACATTATCACCAGTGTATTTTTTTTCTGGCAAACAATGCCATCTTATCAAAAGCAAAGATGATTAATTTTAATATAAAAAAGACAACATATGTAGCTACGATATACATGTAGATTAGCACGAGAATGAGAAGATCACAATTTGTTTGGATTATCAGTTAATCGCTAGTTTATAAAAGAACTATACACCGGTACCAGGAATTCTGGTACCTATTCACTTTCATACAGAGAATTTTCTTCTGGGTAGATTAGTGCTAAAATTATAATGCAGTATTACTGGCCAGATTCTTACTCATTAATGAGAAAAATACTCTGCTCTGTAATGAAAGGAAGTGTTCCAATGCACCCTCTCAAACTCGTGGATTCCAAACCTGCTAACAGACTAGCTAACGTATAGCTTGAGATGAAGAAGAGAAAGAGAAATTCTATCCATCTTGATACTGCAGCACCCTCTTAGTCTTACGAGTATCATTGGCCTTCATGTATATGCCTTCCAATGTTCATATTTGATATCGCAATTTCTAACGCTTAAGAAACGTATAATCAGTATTCATAATTGTGTAATTGTTTACCACATATCTGCACATCGCCAGGTGCATCTTCCGTGAGTCTTCCTGTGTGTTCCCCTCTGCTTCATACAGTCAACGTCATGTAATGTCTTGATGGATAACAGGCCATGCACCATAAGATTAAACGTTTGTATGACTACGATTATTCTCAGATTCTGTGTATGTTAGGCCTGGCAAGAAAATAGGTTGAGTCGGTATCTTGTTAATTAGACAGAATTACTTTCTTAATTTACGTGAATATTACGTGAATATTACATCTAGAAATATAAATAGCTATTGATATAATCAGTTGCATTTGTTGTCAAGAACAAGATGCAAGAATCACGGATTTAGGCCAGATATCTAAAGAAGAATATTTTTTGTTATGTTATTTTCACTCTGATATGTTGTTAAAACGGGTAAATTATAAATATTCATGAATCAAGGACTTCGAATAAGTCCGTGCGGAAACCTAACTTGTCGATAACATACAATGTCCAATTCACAAAAGATGAGCAGGTGTCAAGAACTGTGACACCTTAAACTTTTATTTAACCGCCACTGATGGCGACGAAAACTTTTTTATCATTATTTAACGAAGTGCTTGACATTATTATTTTGCTAAGGAATGAAATATTACCATGAATTGTATACAAATTAAATTTATTATATGAAGAAAATCGGTTTCAAATAAATGGCTCTGAAAAGTCGATTAACTTTCCATTTGACACGTACACACTTTTTATGGAAAAACCATTTTGTCAAGGAAGTCGACATTCTTACATAATGACTAATACTAGTATGCTTAAAATTTGGGAACCATTTCTCACAAGTTCCAATGTATTACATATAATTCAGTTGTGAAAAAAATCGTTTGTGTGTTTGTGTAAGGAGGGGTGTCGATATAGTCATTGGGAAAATATAATAATAATAATAATAGTTAAAAGGAATTAAAAATGGGACATTGTAACAGATACAGATTAGGAATGTTCTGTTAATTTCTGAGTTATGAGGCTTGGCGTGTTTGATGCTCGTTAGTATACCCTGTTGATTCAGTTGTTCTTTACCAAATTCTCATTTGTGATTGTGATGTTACCTACTTGGAATGATCAATATTTACATGGCAGATTTTTTAAAACACTTTACCCAATATTAGATGTAGAGACAAAACAAAACTTAATTTCTTTTTATTTGTGAAAAAAAGTATCAATGCACTCTAATGCAAGAGCATGTAAATCTCTAATCGGCAGTTGCAATTGTGTCTGTATTAATCAAAATAAATTACTCAGTCATATTTACTTTCGAAATGTGTTAAGATTTCATACAACTTACACTAAATATAGGATACTGTCATAACCTCTCTGATAGCCCCTTATAGAGAAGTAATATAATTATATTGGGGAAACCGTTGAACGTTAAATAACACTTGCTGTTCCAGTCTAATGATTCTCATGGGAACGTCGAAAAAGTAACCGTAATAATTTGTTTATATCAATGCATACAGAATGGTGTCGGGTGCAATAACTGACCAGTGTAAAATGTGCCGTCCTCTTTAATTTTATGACTACGCCCGTTATCTGTTCTCCTGTTATACCTTTAAGCAGTGTCAATATTCAAGATGGCTTATATGCAAATAAACTGAGTGGGCTTAACCAGTCGCACGTTCTTTCCAACGAGAAAAACACGTCAAACGGCGGATTTTTCAAAATGCGATATCGGGAAATAGAATTTATGAATTCAAGTAATCCAGGTATCCGTCATTTTCCGGGCGTTTTATTCGTGTTTTACTCCGAGCCAAAATTACTTGCGCAAAGTAATCCGGTCTATTTATAGAATTCCCATGGCTACATTAAACGAGATACGTATTCGTTTGTCTTTGAAACGTATTTAATGCTCTGTTAATTTTTTTTCTTAATTCTTTAATATCGATTAATTTTCTCTTGATAAAACATATCATTGAATATAAAAATAACTTTTCCATTTATGGACTCCCCACGTAATGCTGCAGAACTAGTCACATACAAGTCACGTGAGCGTCTGATACACACTTTGATTCCGCCATCTTGGTTGTAGAACACACCATTCCATCCTTGTTTCACACCTTACCGCAATATCAGATAATCGGTGTTCATTGGCGATTGTTAAAGGCTACAGTTCATCGAAATGGCTGGAGATTTATCAAGAGAAGAGCATGTTGCGTACGGCAAGTTAGCGGAACAGGCCGAAAGGTTTGAAGACATGGCATGTAATATGACCCAAGTGGTCAAGACATGTTTCAATACCGGGGAAGAATTGACAACTGAAGAAAGGAATTTACTATCAGTCGCTTATAAAAACGTCGTTGGTGCCAAGCGATCGTCATGGAGGGTGACCAGTGCGCAAGAATCGAAGAAAGGTACAGACAACGAAATAGCCAAATGCTTGCGACTACAGATCGAAAAGGAATTGACGAGTATCTGCAATGATGTTTTGGACTTGCTCGACCAGTACCTACTACCCACATGTACAAAATCAGAAAGCAAGGTATTTTACAAGAAAATGAAAGGCGATTATCTTCGTTATATGGCAGAATTCGCCACCGAAAATAAAAAAGAAGTTGCGGCTAAAGCCGAAGCTGCTTATGGAGAAGCTTTCGATTTGGCCAAAGCTGAAATGCATCCTACTAATCAAAGCAGATTGGGGCTTGCTTTGAATTATTCGGTCTTTTACTATGAGATCATTAATCAGCCAGACAAAGCTTGCCATTTAGCTAAAGAAGCATTTGATGAGGCCATAGCAGAACTGGATTCTCTGGATCACGAGTCCTACAAAGACAGCACACTCATAATGCAACTTCTGCGGGACAACTTGACCCTGTGGACAACTGATAATGAACAGGAACAAGATCCGGAAATTGAACAAGACAATTAGACAAAGTGCAGAATTGACTGATGATAGATCAAAGGACATTTTGAAAGTGGTAACCTTGTCTGTCCATTCATTAACAAGCTCATTTTATGTGGTCTCTAATCTTTGCCTGTAGATTAAAATCTGAATGTTCCATATTTGGCTAAGAAGGGAAATGGCGTTGGATGAAGTTAATTGAACTTGACCACCTGTGATGAAGGTTTTGTTACAATTATCAATTGACAGTTTTGGTGGCAACAAATGATTGGTTTTCATGAATCAGTTATAGACTTTATCGCGTCATGATTATGTGGACTGCACCTGTTTGTTTCCTCCCAGCTGTACAAGTGTCTAGATTATTGACAAAGCAATGAATGGTATTCTTATTTTTGTCATTGATCAGTTTGTACTGTATTTCAATCTGGATCGGAAAGTGAAATTTGAAATTCAGAAATTTGATGCCAAACCTGATAATTGTTAAGAAATTGCATTTGCATCGTTTGCATGCTGCCATGGCCTCACAAGATATCTAGAAACAGTTTTCACTCAATTAGCCACATTTTCAGTTAATATCACTGATATTATCCTGTCTTAAAACTTGTGAGGAAAGTTTTTCATCAATGTGTTTACTACATTGATATACATATTTGTTAATCATCATATACATTAATATTAGTATACATATTGAATATTGGATTTCATATATTTTTTTTAAAGCCACATGTTCTGCTGTTAATTTTATAGACTGCTTAAGTCATCCTATCATTTATAGGTTATAGTAAAATTAGTTTATTTAATTTTTTATGTCTTAATGTTATTGCTGAAGTGAGTACCTGGTCTGTATGGTATATGTAGATATATATATAGGATTAGACAGTGAGCATTTAATCCATGAGGAGTACATCATTTTATTATTTAATTTGTAGGTAACATTTTGCAGGTAGCGCACATTTCTGGACTATTTGTTTGGTGCTCACTGAAAAATTATGAAACTATATTTCACTATCGTGATTAACAAATGAACTAAAGAGATCAAGGCAACTACCTGGCCAATGCTAAGACATAATATTTGTATCATTCGAAATATTGAACTTTCAGTGTAATGTGACATGTAGTTCTGGTTTGGATTTTTATGTTGAATATTGTAATCTTGCACATTGATGTGAAATTTGCACAATATTTAAGGAGCACAGATGTTTAAATATCAGTATCAAATGGGTTAAGAGAAAATTGTAAAACTAGTTTTCTGTCATTAAATCTCTTTTTCTACCTATACTTTAAGTTGGTTCTTGTCTATTCCCTAAACATTAGGGCTAGAAAAAACTATTTTTTGCTACTCGTCTGTCGGGCAAGTGAAACTTGAAATTCACTTGCCCGAATCCAATATTCACTCACCTGAAGAGAAAAGGCAACAAAACATAATTTAAGGAACACAAATTTTATTATCAATTTCTATGTCAAATGTTTGAACTCAACACTTGCTTTTTATTGTTTTACTCATATTTAATTCACTGTTAACACGAGCGTGAACGTCAACTTTTTGACAGTAACTACGTACACAAAACAACCTTGTTTACAACATTTGTGGTGACGTAATAGGTTTTCGCGTAGTCTACATCAGCCAGAATCTTGACACGTGGTGTAAACAAGGATACTACATCGATGTATTTGATCGACTATCAGTGGATTTAATTAGTTTTAAGAGTGTTTAAGTTGATAAACGTCATTTATGATGGAATATTCAGTAGTCAGAACTACAAATTTCACTCGCCCGCCGGACAAGTAGCTGAAACAAATCACTCGTCTGCAAGTAGCTTTGACTCGTCTAGACGAGGGGACGAGTGGATTTTTCTAACCCTGTACATATACTACATTTGAAATATATATGTGGTATACTACACAGGGGTAATCCTGGAGAGGGCCAAAGAGACTTGGACCTTCAAAACTGAAAACGACCTCTCAATTTTCCCATTGTTTTGTAATGGATGGTCCATCATATTTTTAATATTAATTTTAAAAATGTTGAAAATGGCTTACTGCTCTCGGATCCCAGGATTTTCCCTGTAGTACTTGGTATAAGCAGTTTAATGTTCACTTTTGTTGAGGGCCTTATAGATTCCCTCGTTGTCTTTCAGTACAGAGCCAAATATAAAGCATATTTTTTCATGACATAAACTTAATAGCACAGTACCCCAAATTAATTGGGACAGTACTCAAACAGGATCAAATTTTTGCTCTCAATACAACGTTTAGATTAAGAAATAAAAGTGAATAGTAACAATTGTTAATAAAAATGTACTTTAGGTGATGGAAGCAACTACATCTATGGTAAACCTTCGGTCAGTACAAACACGAGTAGTTCGAACACCTGATTATTTCAATAAAATCAATAATTTTCTGTCTAGTGATAGTTTGAACCATAATTTGTGTCACTTATATTTCGAATTGTTCAAACATCTCGAAAGACTGCACGTCTTGCTATTGATAAAGTCAATAAACTCAATGTTGACCCAGGCTGTAAATGACCTTAGTAAGCAATTGATAGTGTCGGATTATGCACATACATACCACTTCAATAGCATTGATGGATAGTGTGATTTATTTCACATCTTGTCGTAACATCGTGCATACACCAACTGACACAACTCGAGGCCTCAACTCTGTATAACAAAGCTAAGCAATCAGTAAATATTAACAGCTCATGGGATTTCGACATGTGTTTTATCATAGAACAACATTGTTTCACTTCGTAAGTCTCGATCCACACTCCGCAAACTGATTTGTCAATGGAAACTTCCACCAATACATGAGCAGAAATGTGCTTTTTATGGGCTGGTTTCTTCGTCATGGTATCCAAAGTTACGAAGATCAAAATGAAACCAATGATTTCTTAATATTTGATTAGTATAATATTGTTTACAGTAAGTGTTTCAAAAGATAAAAATTTTGAAATCATCCCCTCAGAAAATGCCATTTCTGACTGGTAGTTTCCTGCCTTGCTAGGAAGCATTTAGACACTTCCTTGTAATTTTGTACAAAGTTGACCCTGACAGTTTAAATTCTAATTTATTTTCACGGGCAAAATTTTGTGTAGTTGGTACAGGTTCAACATTTTAAAATTAATTTTGTTCGAACTGACAGAAGATTTACTGTACCTACATGACATATGTTGCTCATTAATTATATTTTTTAAAAAATAAAAAAAGTATATATGATATGATGGAATGTGTAGAAAAAACAGAAAATGATGTCTTCAGATGACCCAAAAATTCTGTCGTATTAGGAAACAGCGAAACTAAAATAGTTAAAATGAGCACTAAAACAAACAGTACCTCAGACAGAAAGGGCAAAAGGTTAATTCTGTGGCTCCTTAATATGTTACCTTTTATTATCCTTAAGATAAATTGAACATTGAGATGACATTCTGCCATGTCCACAATATTATCAAGTGGAACTCTATGTCGCTAGCACAATCATGTGATTTACTGGCTGCATTATCACCAAAGATGTACATTGTATTTGCCATAGTGCATATAAATATGAATAATTAAAATAAAAGGACACTCGCCACTAGAATTAGTGTATTAAAATGTGTATTGGAAAAAAAATTGATGACAGTAGCCGAGATTGAACATGTGACCCCATGAAAATTCGACTAATGTAGGAGTAGTGTCTTACCTTTGGTACTATAGCTGCTCATTATATTTTCATTAATTAATTTAGTATTGAAAGCTTAATTACTCAACATTTTTGGTCCAATTTGATTTTTTAGTACCAGCACACAGTTATACCAATTTTCGAGGCTTTAAGTTTTATCTGATCATACTGGATTAGGTTCAGTTACCGAAGAGTTTGTACATAAGTGTGCTGTGACAAATTTGCAGCTGAAGCAAGGATAACCCTCATGTTTTAGTGCATATTGTTTTAGGTAGCAACTTTGATAATCTTTTAAAAATGTGTCACATATCCAGGATATTTTTTTCTGATAATTGGTTATTGATTATAGCTTTCTGGGATTACCAATCTGAATTCTTCCTTTTTGTTGTTGGTCTCATTAGGTGGAATCAGGAGGTTACTTGCCAAACCTCTTTTCCATAACATCAGTGCACTTTATACTTTAGTTTTAATTTTTAGGATTGGTCTGCTGTCCTATTTAAAATGCTATAAAAGGTGTATGGATAATATAAAGAATGTAAACATAAAGAAAAACCGAATGATAGACAAGTGTTGGACGCAAAACACAAAAGTTATTTTTCAGTTAACAAAAAATGTTCGCCCCTTCTAACAACCAATCCTGGATCGATGCCTGATGACTTAAAATAATAGGACTACATGAATGTGTTTTCAAGTAAAGAAAAATGTATAAAATATCAGTTATTTTTGTAAACAGACTTTAATGATGTGATGTTGCATTTTGGTTAGTCACCAAAAAAAAAAAAGAAAAATTTCAGATGATCCTGGCTATATTGAAAGAGATGTCTAAATCTAAACTTCCTCTTTACATTCTAAAAAAATACAGAATGAAATACTAAGGTAGCTTTGGTTTCAGTATCAAAGTATGAAAGGCTGATGATTTCCTTTACTGATGATTTGTCCTCTGATTAAAATGGCTTGTCTACAGTGAAATTTTGGACTTCCTGAAGGACTCCCTAAAGTTTTGAGACCCTGCTTTATCACTTAGTATTGGGATTCATGAAAACTTTTGAAAGGAATTTTGCTAGAATTTACTTTGACTGTACCTTTCATCTTCCCTGATGCTTGAGTGGATTTCAATAAAATTCAGTTGGAATCTTATCACTTGCAGAAGACATTTTCTTCTCTAATTCAGAAAGTTAATTCGCACAATGGACAGAGGGAAGAGGCCCCAACTGAAAATTTTGCTAGAAATTACTTTGATTTGCAATTTTTCCATTTTCTCATGACTCCAGTATCTGGCATTTCCGCCCGGGGAGGGGGTAAAGTTTACTATATTTTATAAAGGAAAAATAGATTTTTGAGCATAGTTTGTTTAATTTTCATTAGAAATATTTCAAACTTGGTTTAAATTATAAGTGAAGGATGACGGCTTGATGGTATGTCCAGTTTGGTCCTGACTGACCCCCCCCCCCCCCCCCCAGAGGCTGATGGGCAGGGCCAAAAGGGGTCAAATTGACTTGAATTTCAAAAATCTTCTCAAGACCCAGATATAGTAGGATGAAATACTCTTCATGATTGGAAGCATCTTAAGGTGCTTTACCAAAATTGTGAATTTCATGGCCCCAGGGTCTCACATTTCCCCATGGGGAGGGGGTATTTTACTATAGTTATATAGGAAAACTAGATCTTTTAGCATAATTTGTTTAATTTCCCTTGGAAATATTTCGAAGTTGGTTAGAATTACAAGAATAGGAAAGCTAGATTTTTTTAGTATAATTTGTTCAATTTTTAGCTCACCTGACCCAAAGGGCCAAGTGAGCTTATGCCATAGTGCAGAGTCCGTCGTCCGTCCTGCGTCTGTCAACTTTTCATTTAAACAACTTCTTCTGAAATACCGAAAGGCATACAGTTATCATATTTGGCAGGAATATTCCTTTGATGAAGCCTAACAAAATGTGCTAAAAGAAATTACCTTGACCCATATTCAAGGTCACAGAGGTCAAATGTGTTAAAACCTTTAAACGACTTCTTCCAAAATAATGGAAGGCCTAGAATCATTATATATGGCTGGAAGGATCCTTTAATGAAGCCGAACAAAGTTTGCAAAAAACATAATCTTGACCCATATTCAAGGTCACAGAGGTCAAATGTATTAAAACCTTTAAACGACTTCCTCCAAAATACTGGAAGGTCTAGAATCATTATATTTGGCTGGAAGGTTCCTTTGATGAAGCTTAACAAAGTTTATGAAAAGAAAAGACCTTGACCCGTGTTCAAGGTCACATAGGTCAAATGTGTTAAAACATTTAAACGACTTCTCCCCAAATACCGGAAGGCCTAGAATCATTATATTTTGTGTCCTACTAAGTTTGCATAAAGAAATGACCTTGACCAATCTTCAAGGTCACAGGGGTCAAATGTGTTAAAACGTTTAAACAATTTCTTCTGAAATATCAAAAAGCATAGAATCATTATATTTTGCCAGTATGTTCCTTTTATGAATTCCAAGAAAGTTTGCAAAAAGAAATGGCCTTGACCTATAGTCAAGGTCGTAGGGGCCATATGTGTTTAACCTTTAAATGACATTTTCTGATTATCCAAAACATCTAGGATAGTGATATTATCCTAAAATTGGTTCT